AGCACGTGCTCCAATCTTTGTTGTTACCGTTTCTTCACACCAGTTGAGAACTGGATGGTTTCGCAGTGGGCACGGATGCTGGTCTTGGATACCATGGTCGATGAATCATATCCGCCAGATGATTTTTAAATGCCAGTGGTCGAAAGATGCTCTTCGACTTTTAGGGCCCACGTCTCACTTCAATAAAGAACATTGAAGGGGGTGATGGTTTATGCAATTCAGTAATTCTTTTTCACACTGTCTTCTGGTCGTTTGCACAGCGGATTAGGAGGACTTGCTGGTGGCAAGTCCTCTTACTGTTACCCATCTAAATCGTGACTTCATGTTCAGATCAGCTGTTTCTCATGACGCAGTCTAGCATAACAGTTTTCCTCTGTCTTTTAAGACCCATGTCTAATTTAAATTCCATTGAAGATATTAATAGTAGTCGTTTGCATTCGAGATGACCAATCATAGAATAGATCAGAATAAATTGCGTAAACAGCGTGCTTAGGTTGAAGGAGGATACAAAAGCCCTAGTAAAAGAGTTATGGATTTTTCATTGCATTGTGGCTTTGCGGTTTATGACTATTGTTTCCAACGTGAACGCAGTGGAAGTTTTTATTCGACGGAGCAACAAAATGTAAGCTCTATAAGAAGTTGTTTGATTTATTTTAGTAACATGGAAGCTAGCTATGAGGAAAGTTACCATACTCGCACTTTCGTTTCAGGCTTCGATCATCACGCTGAACGTTGTGGCTGAACGTTGTAGCCACTTGTCAGCAAGCGAGCAGGATCACAGAACAGATCCTAATGGAACTAGGCGGTACTGAAGACATTTTGAAATATATCGCTTTAAGTCTGTTAAGCAATTATGACAGAAATTAACACAACAGCTTGTGAGGTCTTGATGTATTGCGGGATCATTTTAACTTGGAGGAGGATTTATAAACGCTTTCAAGGATTAGGAAGAGACACTGGTAAAGATTCTAATACAGTTGCGCTCTTTGCAACTTCTCGTTGTGTACCTAAACAACCTGGTTATCCATTTATGTTAATAATAAAAAATTATACTCCCAATTTCTGTGTTCATATCAAAAAATGTCCAGACTTCTCGTAGCATTATAGATGGCAGAAATCACATTGGTTATCCTAGATTTTATGTAAATTTTGTATTCACAATGTAATTCCCGATGGAAACCATTCACATTCTTCGCCATGTTACTCCTTATTTAATTACCGGTTTGTGATCCATGATTTTGGTCGTGGAGCAGCATTCAGTGCCGTATATCGTAGCAGGCAGTAAAGTAAGATTTGTCAGTTCTTTGCTCATCTATGGGCAATTCATCATTAGATGGAGATTTTCTATTAGGTTAGAGTTGACTGATGGTCCTCCGTTTGCTGCTGATTTGACTGTACAGAGAGTTAATACTGTATATGGTATATCTGATACCCGAAATATACAGAGCTGGCGACTTGTTTATCATTCGCATGGGCATTCTCGTTCCTGTGATATTTGTTGAGCATACATTTCGTCATGGAGAGAGGAACCTCCAGTTCGATAGTGTCGGTAGAGAGGGATGTGTCTTTCGCCTGTAGGATCTTCTGTTAGCACAACGTCGTGTCTTTTGCGAAAGGAAAGATGCAATCGTCCACAAATGACAAGTGCGTTAGTTGCTCTGCGTCAGTATTGATACCGTAACACTTGTTTAACGTTAGCGAATGACTCAAAGGTCGTCTTACTCAGCGACAGCCATGACTGCTTCCGCTCACTCAGTGGAACAGTATGCTAAACTACAGCGAAAACAGGTCTCCAGAGGAACCCTGCAAAGACAAAAATGACGATGAATCCAGAAAATATCATGGGACCGAAGGTGTCTTATGGACACGATATCATCAAAAAGGTCTCGCACTTCGAGTACCCCAGCTCCATCATCTCGATGGATAGAAACCTTGAACCGGCCCTACCAGGAGGAGTGAGTTGCCTTCGTTAAGTTCAAAGAATTATTTGAACGTTTCGATTCGAAGAGGAATAGAAGTAGCCACTAAGGTGCGTGGGACTGTTCTTATGTTGTCAGATGAGTTCTGCTCTGAGGACTGGAAACGGTTTCGTTCACAAGAGCGCAGTAACGAGGGCTGGACAGCCTACAGTAGCGTTAGTTACGTCGGCTGGTGAAGGTCAACTGGTTCGACCATAGAAAAACTATCTAGTCTTGGCACTAGTTGACCTTACCGACGTATCGAAGGCGCTGGGACATAGATGGCTGGCATGGTTCGATAATTTACATTGAAGCAATGAAGCCTTATTGGCTGCTCAGCTGATGACGTGAGAACCGAAACATGGACAGCGAAAGATGTATGGCCAGGGCATTATATGGTAAGGAAAATAAAATGAGGATCTGTTGTAAATGAGGCATGTTTTCCTTGTTGACGCAGTTGGCACGTGCTAATATCTGAATAGGACAAGTGGAGATAAACGGAGACATCACAAGTCTTAAGCAGAGTACAGACTTACAAGGATACTGATGATGACGATGAGAATAACACCGGGGATCGTGGTGAAAAGCGTTTGCTCCTCAGCGGATATTGATGCTGCATGGTTCTTTGAACACGTTCATCCATGCCCTTGGTACAACTGGATTTAGGCGATGTTCACGCGTCATCATTCATCTGTAAGTTTGACTGAATCGCCCTGAGACAGTCGATGAAGGCGAAATAAAACAGCACACGATGTTCCTTGCAATTCTCAACTCCGTTCTTGCACAACATAAACAACTCATTAACATAAATTCGACACAAAAATGTCGTAACTGAAACTAAGCACAACTCTAAGTAAACAAAATGCAGCAAATCAATATTTCGCAGAATACATATGACATTTAGCTTAGAAATACGAGAAAAACTGGCTGTATCGATACCAAACCAATTGGCTGTTGATGACAGACCAAAATATGAAATCGTCCGTAATATTACAAACCAATACAGCCCTGAAGGTTTTTTAACCGCAGAGGTCTAAACAACAATATTTAGTATAATGACCAGGAAAAATCCAATTAAGTTTACTTCAGTCTTGCATGGAATACGTTTGTAAGCACTTTCTATGGTTGATCATTAAGTAAAATTTATGGAAAGGATTTGCTTAAAAAATCAATTTGATTTAACGACCGTTGTACAGCCGTCATTCCATCGCATGTTGAGCGTTCACCCAGGCTTTGCGGTCGTAAGTGAGTGGTTCATGAAACCGACGAGTAATTGATCTGTCGACTACAGCTGCTGCCTTTGACGTGGTCAGTTATCTCTGCATCGTTTTCTGTACGCCGACGAATTTCCTAGTAGTGCTTCCCGTAGGAAATTGTAAATGAATGTCTGAGTTTTTACCGATGAATTTAGGGCTTTTTGCCGTCAGTGATCAACACTCGCGTCAATGTGTCATTTCTGTCAGGTTTTCCTTTGTACACCGAGGCAGATGGTGACCCCCCTCCACCCTCCAATTCAACCGTCATGGTTTCCCGGAAGCGAAGACCAGCATCGATGCTGTCACGTCGGTTGGTCGGTCGGTCGTCGATGCAATTGAGTGCTGTGTTGAAAGAGTTAGGCGCTGGTTGCCGTTGGCAGATGAACCACAACGAAGGTTGGGCAAAAGCGTATTGACGGCCGATTTCGCCGTTCGGCCGCTTTTCGCAACATTAACGATTGTCAGCTGGCAGCTGGCTGTCTGCCAACAGCGAAACGGCGAACGGTGACGAACCCTTGACTCAGACCTGCTTGATTCGCCGTCACGAGATGTCGTTCCTCGTCTTCATAGTTTCATTTTTGCGCAAACGATTCGTCCACTCCGCGTATTTAATTTTTTTAGCTTTGTTGGTACGAGGTTACAATTAATGACATATGTAATTCATAGATAATGTGTCTGTGTCTCACGTATTACGTCTTTCTTTGCATTCGCATCTTTCTCCTCTTCGTTCCACTATTGTTTCTCTCATTTTTATCTTCTTTATCTAGTTATCCTTCTTCTTTTTCGTCCCCGCCTTCTCGTTACTCATTATCTTCTGTTTCTTCTTCTTCTTCTTCTGCTTCTTTTTCTGCTTCTTCTTCTTCACTGTCCCTTAATACATTTGCATTTTCGTCTTCTCTTCTTCCCTTATTCTTGTCTTTTTCTCTTTTCTTTCACTTTTACTTACACTGCTGTTTGTGGCATTTCACTTATTATCGACATCCCATCTTATATCGGACTTGGAATCGTATGTCAGCCTGCAATACAGTGCAGTGTATTTTCCTCAACCCTTAATAGCAAACACGTGCAATTAGCCGTGATGTGATCTGGTGGTGAGGGTCCTGCCTCATTATGCCTAAAAAGCATATATAGAAGGAAAGTGTCCAGGCAGCTGTGCAGTCGCTGTGTCGCAAGTTTAGTTGCTCGCTGGCTGCATCAAAATTCCTGCCGGTAAAGAGCACAGTCGTCGAATGATTTTCCGTTGCCTTTCGATGTTGCACTTTTATAAAATTTCCCTAAAACTGGTTTCCAACACCGAAACTTTCATTCAACTCACCCTGCCATAGAATACCAACGTTTAAGTCGAGAACGGCTGCTTGAAACCGGTCGTCTCCATCAGAATCGCACAACGCCTGCCTCGTGGAGTCACATCGCAAAATTTTTGTGAGTGATCGCCGTTGCACGTACTCTGGCAGATGTTGTCGTACCAATCGCTTTCAGACTCAGACACCTTCGGCTTGTCTCTAACCAGAATCCTCGATACCACGTTTGCTGCGCATAGTTTTTCGATCAAGAACTGCGCGATGTGCTTTACTACCTTTATCGGTATTTATGATTATCTTTAATCTTAATTTGTGGTCTTTAAACTGTTTCGTTTATACCGCACTCCATGCCTTACTTATAATTAATATCGGTTTGATTAGCTTCTTCTTTTTCTAGCGAATTGCCTTTAACAGGGGTCCACTGATCGACCCAACTTCCTCCACATTTTTCTGTCTTTGGTTAAATCTTCGGTCACTCCTCGCACTTTCATCTCGGTTTTGACCACATGGCGTCACTTTTCCTGTTGTCTTCCCCTTCTTTTTTTCCCTGACAGTATCAGCGTTTGGACCACATTTCCAACGTACCCGATAGGCCTTCTTTTCACGTGGCCGAACAAGCGAAGCCTGCTTTCGATAAGCTTTATTAAATTGGTGCTACCCCTAGAATGCTGTTTCGGATGTGGTTCTTTCTGGTGATACCACACATCCATCTGAGCATTCGCATTTCTGCAGAGTTCAGCTGCTGCTCGTGTCTGCAGTATAGCCAAACATTCCGCTGCGTACAGAGTACTTGTCTTACTCTCGTTCCGTACACCTTTCCTGATGGGACATCTTCTTCAGTCTGATGGGCATCGCACTGTACTCATTTGAGCCAACCTTTTTTTCTCGACCTCGCTGTCGATTTTCCCATGATCTTGTTTGTTCACTATCGGTTTGATTTGTTTATTAATAATATTAAATGATGAGTTGGTTTATGATAAATGTTGGTAAATGGTAAATTATTTCATTGTTGATATCGCTAATGCCGGTTAGAGTACCTTGTTGAAGATACCGTCATTTCTTCACTGAAAAACGTAGTTGCGGTTAGGAAGAGAACAGCGAAACTGTCCTGTATTACGAAGAAGACCCCTTATAGCCCTTAGAGTGCTAAGAAATCAGGCAGAAATCACTACCTGCTACATCCTGCTGCGCTCTCGAAGGCAGCTCATCGATGTCTGGTT